CTTCAACCGACTTGTAACCGAGTTCCTAACCTTGAGAGGAGGAATTCCATCAAGAAAGTGCCACCACCGAAGTCACTTTCTCCACCTACACCACATCCATTGTTCCCAGCCAAGACTTCATTGACACCTCCAGTTTCTCCAAAGTCACTAATTTCTCCAAAGTCCCCAAGGCCTCCAGCAATCAAGAGAGGGAATGACAGTAATGGGCTGAACCTGAACTCAAGTTCTGAAAGGGTTATAGTGCCAACCCCAAGAAACTCCATGAAAGCTAATCCTACTTTGGAGAGGAAGAAGTCAAAGAGTTTTAAGGAAGGGTCTTGTGGTTCTGTTGAGGCATCTTTGAGCTATTCTTCTTCTTTGATCATCGAGGCACCTGGAAGCATTGCTGCTGTGAGGAGGGAACAGGTGGCTCTGCAACAAGCGCAGAGGAAATTGAGGATTGCCCATTATGGAAGATCAAAATCCGCCAAGTTTGAAAGAGTTATTCCTCTTGATTCTTCAAGCAATCTCTCAACAAAGACAAGTGAGGAGCAGAAAAGATGCAGCTTTATCACCAGCAATTCAGGTAATACAAAGAGCAGAGTTCACATTTTCCATTCAAACTCATAATTTTATAATTATATTCATTATTGCTAGTTACAGAATGCACTAACTTCTGTGTCTGGCTTGATCATTAGATCCCATCTATATTGCTTATCATGATGAGGAATGGGGAGTTCCAGTTCATGATGACAAGTAAATCCCACCCCCTCTCTCTCTCCTAGAGAAAAAGACACAAACACGTAACAAACCAAATAAAAGTATGCAGAGGCATATAATTACTACAATTTGACAAAAACCTTATTGTCCACGCAGGATGCTGTTCGAACTCCTGGTCCTAAGCAGTGCTCAGGTTGGATCTGATTGGACCTCAATCTTGAAGAAACGCCAAGATTTCAGGTTGGATTCTACTAAAAAAATCAAGGACATTTGCATAAAAACTTCAATTTTGTAACAGGATGGACGTATAAATGATAATCTTCCGACAAAAATGAAATTATTTGTAAAATAGTTCAACCTCTTTTAAGTTAAGCCTCGTAAAATATCTGCATATTCGTGTGCAGCTATCATATTCTTTACCCTTAAAGGAAGGTAACTAACTATTCAAAATATGAGCAGGACTGCATTTTCAGAGTTCAATGCAGAAATAGTGGCCAACTTGACAGAAAAGCAAATGATGGCTATTAGTTTGGAATATGGGATTGATATTAGCAGAGTTCGAGGTGTTGTTGACAATGCTAACCGAATTTTACAGGTAAGCCAAGCACTATCATGCCTAGTAAATTGTGCCCATTTTAGCATTTTTTATGTTTGATCTTTGTTCTTGTTTACGTTATGGCCTCCCAAAAAGCTTAATTTGCTTGGTTTGAGTGAATATTCTTGTGGGCAAGAGAAGAGTAATCAAAGACAACCAAAGATGGGAAAGAACGATAATGTCTTCAGTTTCAACTGCATCATGTTTTTCACTTTTAACTGCCTCTTTGACCAATAAATTTCAGTCTTTCAAATCAGCAAATTTCAATAGATTAGAAGTTTTAATGATAATGATGTTTTAAACATGTTAAAAGTCAACTCTTAACTAAAGGATTAAAGTTTCCCCCCTGTGGAAAAAGAAGAAAGAGGAATCATTTTAGGATCAGTGTTTTGGGGAATATTAACAAAGTCATTTTTCAGTTATAAAAGAAATTGAAAGTTCAACTCAAAATAAAATAGATTTGTGTTTTATCCGTGCTTTAAAGTGAAAGACATTTGGATAAAAGGTGTTGGATATACTGGTCCTTTTTTTTTTTTTGGCTGATTCTTCCTACTTTGCAAATTGGGTCACTGCAGCTGAAGGAGGATTTTGGAACATTTGACAAATACATATGGGGCTTTGTGAATCACAAACCTATCTCCACTCAATACAGGTTTGGCCACAAGATCCCAGTGAAGACATCTAAGTCAGAGACCATAACCAAAGACATGGTCAGAAGAGGTTTTCGGTTTGTTGGTCCGACCGTGGTTCACTCATTCATGCAAGCAGTCGGTCTAACCAATGACCATTTGATCACTTGCCACAGACACTTGCAATGCACCTTAATGGCAGCTCGCCCCCACCCCCCCACCACAGACCACTCTCCCTAGAACCAAATCTCAACAAGAAATTCTTAAATATCATACAGCCTATATCAATATAATGATCAAGATATGACCTGCATAACTATAACTCATTTAGGATTGTTCAGATTAAGTCTTGAACGTTATATCTACATGTGCTATATGATACGTGAGAATTTCAAAAGTTGACAACAAGAGCTGATATATGCTGAAGAGCATATATACAAAAAGCAACCTGCTGAAGTGCTAATTATAGCTTGTGTATAGTATTAGATTAATTTGGGAGACATTGTAATGACGGTTTGGGTTTGATTTAAAGCATGCATTTAAGAGGGGAAAAGGGTTTGAAATGTGTTATGAAGAGGTGGGAGAGTCAGGGGACAGAGGGCATGTGCTTGTTCAACTGTGAAGGCGAGGGCATGTGTGGGGTGTCAGTTAGCTTGCTTTATGGGCATGTGACCCTTCAGACTTCGCATTATTTAGTGCGCTTTAACAGCCTGTGTGTGAGAGAGGGAGGTACATGTAGAGAGAGGGTGTGTAGGGGTCCACCTCTTCCTTCTTCTATGTTTTTTTGTTCTGTTTTGTTTTGTTTGGGTTTTGTGCTGTCTAACTTTTTGGTTTTGGCTTAGTCCACAATACACGTGGTTTTGGAGTTGGTGTGTATCTTTTGAGTGATGTTCAATTCATTGGCCATGTGCTTCTCTGTACCATTTGCTTACTAATACAAGACTTTTTTCTCTCTAATTGTTTATTGAGATAAGTTGAGTATCTTCTTCCCATGTGCCCATCATTCCCTTTTGTTTGCGTGCAACAATCTATCGATCTTTCTCCCTTTTTTCTCGATGCTTTCATTTTCTTCTTGGGACAAATTCTCATTCTCACTCGCTCGTAAGCTAGATTCCTCGCCATTTTTAATAACATCATGTCAAATAGTGAAATGGTTTTATTTATAGTAAAAATATAATTATTAATTGTTTGAATATGTAAAGTTGACCTTATAACAAGTGGTAAGTGATTCAATCCTCCACCTTTATGTACAGCGTAAATCTGTTTGAAAAAAATCTACTCTTTCAATCCAATATTTTGAACGAGATTAGTCTCTATTATTGATGCGAGAAATTTTTAACTTCTAGGGGATCCCATTAAAACGTTACAAATAAGGGAATTTAACCTAAATAGAATGTAAATTTTTCAAACCTCAAGCAGAAGCATTAAATTCGATTTTAGGGACGGCGAGACAAAAATGTTAAAGGCTTGCTTGAAATTATTTTTGTTTTGTTACTCCAAAAATTAATGTTTTGTAGAACATATTTAAAAAAAATAAAATGAGTGTTTTTTTATTTTTTCTTATTTTTTAACAATAATTTCAAAACACTTAAAAGATGTTTTCATTTTTTTATTTTTTAAAACAACGTTTTATTTCTTTGTTCTTCAAAAAAATTTTAAAAATATATTATTAAACAATTTTTTTGTTTTGAAAAATAAAAAAATATTTTCAGAACAAGTTGCCAGAAGGTACTAAAATTATGCTACTGTTGCTTCTGTTAAACCTATCTTCTCATCTCTCAAACTCTTTTTAAAGTAAATATATATAGTAAATGAATTAAATTATAAAGAAGCATATGAGAAGCTCAAACATGATCTTCGAGCAAGTGTAATTTTTTTTTTGGGAAAAAAATCTATCAGTTTTCAAAATTCAAATATCAAATACTTTTGCCATATCCACCAACATTTAATATGCCAGAGACGGAATTATTGTTTGCAGCAAGGAAGCCTTTTATTAATTATTGAGGCTGGCGTCTTTTGAGAGAGAGAGAGAGAGATTTTCCCCCCTTTTTTCTTTTAAAGAGAGTGATAAAAGGTCGTTAATGATGGCAGAAGGATAGGTCATCTTTCAATATTTAGGGAATGCCCATATATATATATATATATATATATTTAGGGGATCTTAATTTGAGAAGTTGTGTATAGTATGCAGAGAAAATCATGTTTTCAATTTTTCATAATTGTAATTTTAATTATTGTTATAATTTAGAACTTGAATTTTATATATATATTTTTTGACATTTTGACTCTTCTTGTTAATATTAAGTCAATATTTAAGTAAATTAATTGGATGTAATCGATTATATATCATCTTGATGATTTAAATTTAAGCATGTGCTGTTCATGTCAATGAAAGACATGAATATATAAACCCTAAAATAAAAATAATTATCATAAAATAAAATATTGGGACATATGCAATAATAAAGAGAACATTAAAATTTTTCAAATTATAAAAGACTAAATTGTGAAGTTTTATAAATTATGAGGGTATTCACAGCATACCTAGTATGGCTTGTATTAGATTCAGTTTAATTCACATTCTATACATTTATAAATTATGATGTAATTACAATGAAAATGGCATGGATATTAATTTTACTCCATATAACTTCTATACAAGCGTATGGAATTGTATGCCTATTCAACGTTACAGAAATATTTTTTCTTATTTTACCTAATTTTTGGATATCAAAAAATATTTATTTGTATAATTTTCATATTAACTTAGAATAATATAATTTTCTGGATGACAAAAACATAAAGGACTATCATAGTAATAGATTTTACATTTAAAATTCTTGGACATGTATTTTTTTTTTTTGGTAGAATCTTGGTTATGTAGTTATTTCGAGGAAGCGAGGCTTAACAGAGAACCCGAAAGGTCCAACTCATGTATAGCCCAAGGCCTATATTATGCATTCTGGACTTCAAACAAAAGAATCTGGCCCAAATGCTGATCGCCTTCTACACAGACCCAAAAAAGAAAAAAAAAAGACGGAACAAAATTGCCTCCAGCTTCATTCTTGGTAGCGAGTTCTTGCTCCATAGGGATTCATTCAACATCGTCCCTCCCTCTTCACATTTGCTTCTTCCCTCTCCTGTTCCTTCTTCCGTCAATCGTCCTTTTCTCTTCTACTTCCGTTCGAACTTTCCGACTGATCGCGGCGAATTAGGGCGTCGCCGGTTTAAAAATGCCCCTATTTCTCTCCGACGAGGAGTTCTTCCATTGCTCCAATGACGCTGCCGCGGTGGCCGAGAAGGCCGACGTATTCATCCGCAGCCTTCTCAACGAGCTCGAGACTGTGAAGGCCAAGGCTGATGCTTCTGACATTAACGCCGAGCAGAACTGTTCTCTCATAGAGCAGAAGTACCTCTCTCTTACTGCTGAATTCTCAAAGCTCGAGTCCCATGTTGATGAACTCCAAGCAACCCTGGATCAACGTCTCGCTGAACTCGCCGAAGTTCAAACTCAGAAGGAGAAAATTAATTTGCAATCTGTATGGAGCGTTATGTTTGTTTGCCACTTTTTGACTTTCTTTCTTTTATTGCTTTTTGTCATTGATTCTGGGTTTGTAGATTGAGAAAGACCGGGAGATAGAGAGGTTGAGGACAGAGGTGAGTGAGCTGCATAAATCGAAAAGGCAGTTAATTGAGTTGAATGAGCAAAAGGATTTGCAGCTTAGCGAGAAGAATGCCGCCATCACGACCTATCTCGATAAGATTGTAAGTTATTTTCTCTACTCTGCTTCTTTCATTTTGATGTTCTCTCTGCGTGGTTTGAAGTTAAACGCTTAAAAATGCTCTCATTCTTGTCGTTGCTGGTCGTGAAGGTCAACTTGTCTGAAAATGCTGCTCAGAAGGAGGCTCATTTGAGTGAACTGGAGGCAGAGTTGGCCCGATGCCGTGCTCAATGCACTCGTCTTTCACAGGTGGTTCTTGAGTTCCTTTCGTCCACTTACTTTCTGTATAAGTTGTCTGATTGTGGATCTTACGAGTTGTGGTAAATTCTTTCTGCTGATTATAGAAATTACTAGTTGTAGAGGTGGTGCAATTAGGTATAAAAGCTGTTTGGTTTCTGACAAGTGAAACGTATCCGTCACAATGTTTAGGGCCTTGGATTAGGTTGGCATGGCTTCACTAATTGTAATCATCTGTCTGATCGTAATTAAAGAAATGTCTGTTTCTTTTCATTTCTCCTTTTTTGGTTCAACAGAGTGCTGTTTCAAACTCATGACTCGATGGGTGAAACTAATATGCTTTTACCGTCAACCCAAGACTTCGTCATAGAAGGATATTTCAAGTTCCTTCAAAACTACACCTCTTTTGCTTTGGCTTTTGTCCTGGATAAGATAGTATTTCTACATTTAACATTTTTTATGCACAGGATATTTCAAGTTGCATGTGAAGTGATGTTGCATTTTTCTTTCCTTAAATTGTATGTGAGCAGGAGAAAGAGATTGTTGAGAGACAAAATGCTTGGCTGAATGATGAGTTGACTACTAAGGTTAATAGTTCCTTTGAGATGCGCAGAAAATATGCTGAGTTGGAGGCTGAGATGGCTTCTAAGCTTGCGGATGTCAGTGAGATTTATATGATTACTAGATATTCGTAATTTAAAAGTTGCACTTTTTTGCTTCAGTACAATGTGATTTTAAGATTAACACTTTCAGGTAGAGAGGCAATTGAGTGAATGCTCTAAATCACTACAATGGAACAAGGATAGAGTGAGGGAGTTAGACGTGAAACTTAAATCTACTCATGAGGTTGGAAAGATTCCATTTATTATCTTGATATTTGATTCTTTTTCTTGCCTCATTCAATCCCTGTTTAACCTGTTTTTATCACTTCCTAGGAGTTAGTTTCAGCTAAAGATGCTGCTGCAGCTAATGAACAGAAATTGTACAATGAGCTCTCGACTGTGAGTGTTATGACAAGTTCTATTTATTATATTTTTTTTAAAATAGTCTGGGGAAGAATGTTATTTTTTTCTTATTTTTTAATATTTAGACATATTTTTTGTGTAATCAGGTTAATAAGCTTAATGAACTATATAAAGAAAGTTCTGAGGAATGGTCCAGAAAGGCAACAGAGCTTGAGGGTGTGATCAAAGCAATGGAGGTGAAGTTTGTTTGATATATGTGGTTTTTTGACGTTTGGAAGATGGAATTTTAGATAAGAGAGAAGGCTTACACTTCAAAACATTGCTGTTGTTTGAGCAGTCTCATCTGAAGCAAATTGAAGATGATTATAAAGAGAAACTTGAGAAGGAATCTACTGCTCGAAAACAGTTTGAAAAGGTATTTGGTCCTTCTCAGCCACATATTAATGTTTAGGCTGGGATTCTCACTTTGCCTACTAGTATTAAAAGTTTGTTGGGTAATACAACAACAACAAGCCTTTATCCCACTAGGTGGGGTCGGCTACATGGATTGCAAGACGCCATTGTGTTCTATCATTTATTAAGCTTTTAGAAATATTATTAATTAAGAGATCACGTTCAACAACTTCCAAGAGTGTTCTCTTAGGCCTTCCTCTACCTCTCTTAATCGGACTCAAAGTTATATGTTCCACTCTTCTCACTGGTGCCTCCCTTGGTCTTCTTTGTACATGCTCAAACCATCTCAACCGATTTTCTACCATTTTTTCCTCAATAGGTGCCACCCTCACTTTTTCACGTATGTGCTCATTTCGAATTTTATCTTTACGTGTATGTCCGCACATCCATCGTAACATTCTCATCTCTGCTACTCCAACTTTATGCTCTTGCTGTCCCGTTAGAGCCCAGCATTCACTACTATATAACATTGCCGGTCTGATAGCAGTACGATAAAACTTTCCTTTAAGTTTATTAGGCACCTTACGGTCACAAATAACTCCTTTAGCTTTTCTCCACTTAAACCACCCAGCTTGAATTCTATGTGAAATATCTCCACTGATTTCGCCATCATTTTGAATAATGGCTCCCAAATATCTAAACTTTTCCACTTGAGGTATAATTTGATCTCCCAATTTCACTTCCAAATTATTTTCGAATAGTCCTTTATCAAATTTACAATATAAATATTCCGTCTTACTTCTACTCAGACGAAAACCTTTCGACTCCAATGTCCTCCTCCATAACTCAAGTTTGCAATTAACCTCTTCTCTTGTCTCTGCTATAAGAACTATATCATCCGCGAAGAGCATACTTGTTGGGTAATACAAAAACCAGTAATATTCAATTTGTTACCTGAAAGCGGATACCATGGATTCTTGATTTGGAAATCAATATCCATAATTGTATTCTTGTTTGAAGATGTTCAATGCCTGGATTTTTTTTATTTTTTTGAAACTCATCTGAGAAAATCTTTATTTGTCTGTTCCTGATTTTATTCATAATTGAGTTATCTTTTTGACTGATTTCCATATGGTTTTGTTATTGTCAAGGACTAATTCATCTCAAACGCTGAAGTTTTTAAGTGAAAGGACATGAATTGTTATATTATAATCTCTAACTGGCCCTGACAAACAAAAAGCCTGTTATGGTTGAAGTGTAGGCGTAGGATGCTGGAGAATGGGGATGGTGACAATCAAGTTCTCTACCACTTGGTCACAGTGGCCATGGTTCCATGTCAAGAACTAACTTAAAGTTTGAACTGTTAAGTGGAGTCTAGCAAATAGTTTGATTATGATAACTAATATTTATGGAAAACAAGCTTGACTCATTTTAGCTGGAGCAGTGTCTTTAACTCAAGTGTTACGCTAATTTTGCATATTTATATTTCTTCAAGGATCTTTAGATTTTAACATGTTTTGATTTCTTCTGCATCACATGGGTCGTTGTCTGGTTGATTTCCTGTAATATCTGTTGCAATGATGTTGTTGGACAATTTGACTTGCGTTGATTTCTTATTACTTCTAAGTAGAACTCTTCTCATGCTTAATTTATTTATTTGGGCGCTTATAGGAGGCTGCTGAATTGAAAGCAAAGCTCGAGGCAAGTGAGGCTGAAATTGAACGAAGTAAGAAAAATGGGCAGAATCTTCTTCCGCAGAGTGGTTTCAACCCTGAACTGTATGTCTTTCTCATTCTCTTACTGCTTTGAATTATTGTGTCTAAATGCATTCCTTTCAGTCTTGTACTATCCCCTACATCTACATGTGGTCTTTTTTTTAATATTTTTTTATGAAATAAAGATGGAACATATATTAGACACAAAAGTCATCTTTTGTTGTCTCTTTTTTCCTTAAAACTGTTCCCAAATATGAAACATATCATAGTTGAAACCAGAACCCCCACCATATTAGGGAAAAAAAGAAAGAAAGAGAAAAACTGATTCTGTGCGCAACATAAGAAGAAATCAAGGAGAGGTGCTGAGGAATGGAGCTCAAGGTTGGATGAGATGCACCTTCTTAATGATTCCTGAGGTTTTTTTCTGAATTTATTCTACAAAAAGATTACGAGCCAACGGCCTCTTTTCAGTTCTGGAGATGCTAAATGGAGAATGAGTTTTTCAGAGATTATTTTTTTGTTGTACTTTCCCAAACCCCACCAGGTAATGCTGTAATGGCTACAAGAAAGGGCAAAATGTTTGAGGTGTTGGACTGTGTTTTTACAGAAGGGATAGGGGATTGCAGTGCTAGGATCAGACTACCTTTCTCAACTGCTGAATCTTGACTGGGAGTGATGGGATGATTGTTCCATCAATTTCTGTGGTTGAATGGAAATACTGGTGAAGGAGAAAGATATTTGAAGTTGTTCAGAGACATTGAAAATGTTCTGTTCTGAGCTAACATGAATATTCTTTCTGATGTCTTGTCTCTGTACCAAACACTTGGAGATGTTCAGAGACATTAAAAATTTTATTATCGTTAAAATGAGGACATATTAGATTTTGGTTCTATATTGCCTGATAAATGTGCTGTTTGGCATGTCCAGACTTCAGAGAGTTGTTACGTTTGTTGCAGGTGGTTGGTATCAAATGAAGCCAGTGACTTAGTTGAGGAAAGTAACATGCTTGTCCCTAAAATTCCTGCTGGTGTTTCTGGAACAGCCTTAGCTGCTTCCCTTCTGCGTGATGGATGGAGTGTGAGTTATCAAAATTTTAAATTTCATGCTGGCTCCATTTTTCCCTCTTTGAGTTATTAAATTAGGTTATCTTATTGTGCTTTCTTTATTTGTTGAAGTTGGGGAGAATGTATGCAAAATACCAAGAAGCTGTTGATGCTCTGCGACATGAGCAACTTGGCAGGAAGGAATCTGAGGCAATTTTGCAAAGGGTATGCTTCACATGGTGCAATTTTTTATTTATACTCTCTAACTAAGGGTGATTCAGCCTTACATTTTTAAACATTCCAGGTTTTCCGTTTGTATCAAACTCTCTTCAATAGCCCAAATTAACCTTATCATAAGATTTCTCAAAATCCAACTAGTAAAAAAATCCCTTCTGCATTTGCTGTTTTAACATCCTCAATTACATTATTTGCAGCCAAAATTGCATCTAAAATTTGTTTACCTGCCATAAATTCACTTGGTTTTACAAGAAATAGAGTTTATTTGATAATATCATCAGCATTAAAAATGAGTCAAATGGGTCTGATGTCTTGAGCCTTGATAAAACAATTCCTTTTATGAAAATGTGTTGGACACTTCATTTTTAACCTACATGCTTAAGTTCAATGGTTATGCCTTCAAATATTTGAATAAATTTTTTTCCCATGTTAATGTACTCACTTGCTTTCAACATGCTCTCTTTGATTAATGTGTGGACACTTTGCTGTGTTTTAGATTGAAAAATGCATAATTTTTTTTTTTACTTTATCAGGTTCTGTATGAGTTAGAGGAGAAAGCAGAAGCCATTATAGATGAAAGGGGTATGTCATTTTTTGTGACGATTGAGGAATATATTAATTTTTGTTTCAAGTAAAATTGTTCTTTTGGTGATAATGACCCTGAAATTCCATAATTTAATCCAAATAAAATAGTTGCAATTTGTAGGAGAATTTAGGCTGAAATGGAAGATACATGGACTTAATATAACTAAAGACTTATAAAGTAGCAAAAAATTAAAGAAAAAGCATGACTTCAGAGTCATTATCAGAGAGTTGTAAATTAGCAAACATCATTTGTCTATACAATTTGACATTGCCTTAAAAGAGAAAGCTGTTTTCTTCCTGTTTTCCAAATATGTAAAAACTATGCTAAGATCCTCGTGCTAATTTTGTGTTTCATATATCTTCCATCTATACAATCAAATTTTGTGGTACTTGAAAAGTAATGAGGTAGAGCTTATCTGTAGTTTGTTTATGATAGATTTCATGTCTCTTTTACTAATAAATAAACTGGTGTCGATGCAGTTGAACATGAAAAGATGGTTGAGGCATACTCTTTGATGAACCAAAAATTGCAAAACTCTGTTACCGAGAAGGCAATCTTAGAGAAAACTATCCAGGAACTGAAGGTTTCCAACGGAACTTAAAATTTTATCTGTCTTCCCCACACACCTTTCCTTCTATCTCAAGATTCACTTAGGTGTATATTTTGCAGGCTGACCTCAGAAGGCATGAACGGGATTATAATTTAGCTCAGAAAGAGATTACTGACCTTCAAAAACAGGTGAGGATAAAACATTTATTTTCTGGTAATTTCTTATGCAATATCTATATAATAAAGTCTTCTGATTTTTGCTGAAATAGGCTGGAGTGTTATTCTTTATGTTTTGCTGTCATTGAAGCACTGTATTTATGTTATATTGTAGGCATGCCTGCATGGAAGACCATTGTACAACAAAACTAAAATTTGTTAGAAATTAGTCAAACAGTTATTTCATTGTGTAAATTTGAACTTTGGTTGGCTAGTCTTGTGTATTGCTACATTGCATGGGCCCCATATTTAGTTGTTTTGTTGTTCTCTTCTCAACAATGTTAACATTTTTATTGTTTCTTCAGACATTATCTATAGTTTAGTTCAGTTACCAGTTATCTAATGTCAGTAATTATTTTTTTCAGGTGACAGTTCTCTTGAAGGAATGCCGAGATATACAACTTCGTTGTGGATCAGTTGGGTTTGATGCTATTGATGATGCTGCAAAAGGTCTTTCAAGAACACATACAGAGACTGACGCTGAAAAAGTTATCTCAGAGAACCTTGTGAGTTCTGTTCCTGTATTTATTCTCTGGGTCTTCTTTTACTCGTCTATGCCTTTATAATGTGTTCAATTGACATTTGGGAAGCAGTTGACCTTCAAGGACATAAATGGGCTGGTTGAGCAGAATGCACAACTTAGAAGCCTTGCAAGAAGTCTCTCTAGCCAGATAGAAAATAAGGAGTTGGAGTTTGAGGTTGGCTGGCAAATGGTTCCGTTTTTTTTTTCCAAACATTTTTGCTTCTGGATCTTGTAGCATGTTTGACTTAATTGTTTTTGTTCTATTAAACTCCAGGAGAAGCTTGATCTGGAGCTCAGAAAACATACCGAGGAAGCATCTAATAAAGTAACAGCTGTCCTGCAGAGAGCAGAAGAGCAAGGGCGCATGATTGAATCACTTCATGCATCTGTAAGTAGTTATTATGGTCCTGATTTTCTTGGATTAGTGTAGGTCTATGTCCTTGATCTAGGGAATGAGTTTCTCTTCAATAGAGGAATGGGAAAATGGCGTGAATAGTACTGGTGGACTTCAAACATTGTACAGAGGACCTGTAGTTATTTGAGATTCGAAGTACCCAATTTATTGTGGCTTTCCCGTTGGTTAATATATCTGAGGCTGTAACTTATGCTGATGTTGCTCATATTCAAATAACTGTAGTTTTGACCTTCTGTTTCCTCTCGTGTAGGTTGCAATGTACAAGAGGTTGTATGAAGAGGAACATAGTCTTCATTTGTCTCATTCAATTCCTTCTGAAGCTCCTACAGGTTCCTGAAATAATTATATGTTGTTTTTTCTTTTAGTTACTGCTATCCTCATCAATCTGATTCTCTGAAGATTCTTTTGGCTCCTCCTATAAATATCTGAGCAAAGTCAGAGTAATTTTCATTGGTTCAACAGCTGTACAGTGCAGCCAGGTTAATAGGCAAAGCAAGCTATCTTTCTGTGATCACTAATACCCTGAAAACAGAGACTTTATCTTAGATCAAATATCCTACTGTGTAATGTAATAATCTGACTTAATAAAATAAAATACTAACAAACAAAATAAAGTAATAACAGAAAACAAAATTATTGTCTTTATCCCAACAGTATCTCAGAACTAAGAAATTTGATGTGTAGGTGGAAAGGGTGCTTGCCCTTTGCTATAGGATGTAGACTTTTAAGTTATGCCATCCTTCAAGATTGAATTAATCAAATAGAAGCAGTTGGCATCACAAATTTCAAGGAAATTATACAAGTGGAGTAGAAAAACCTGGGGAAAAGATAGGATTTTTGGATCTTTGGTAACTTGTCTGTTGGCTGATTTGTTAGTTCAGATCCCATTATCGATGGATGGAAACAGAACCAAAGAGTGCAAAAAATTTGGCTAAGGGTTGATTCTCAGAGTTACGTGGTTATTGGCTGAAGGGCAGTCCTTCCATATGCTGTGTGCTGACGCTAGGACACCTTAAATGACACTTAAAGCTTGGCTTCCTTCACCTCCTAGCCATCATCATTAAAACTAAATTTATGACTTTATGACCCCAAAACATTGAAAATCTTATTGGTTGTAACAAAATTCTAGTAATTAATTCATGTTTCTACAGTTAAATGAAATTGACCAATCCAAATGGGACAGGGTTGCATATATTTTGTTTTTGCATTTGAAAAAAGTTTGCATGTTAATATCGACTGTTCTTCTGGATTGTCACTTTCTAAGAAAGTTCATTCATTTAATTTTTATTGTTTAGTCTGTAGAGTTAACGGCTCCTTACATTTTTATTTTATTTTCAAACTATTAGCTGACGCAGATGGAGGAAGAAACAGCCTTAAAGCAATTATTGAAAGCTCACAGGTAAACGTGGAAACATTAAGAAACGGTCACTTGTCATTTCATTCTTCTAAACATGTTTCATTATTTGCACTATTTTAGGAAGCTGCTAAAAAGTCCCTTGAAAAGGCTATGGAACGTGTAAGGTGCCTTGAGGATGATCTAGCACAATCTAGGTAAAGTTTCTACAAATAATTCTTCTCGCTGATTTGGCAGTCTTAATTTTTTGTTGATATGGAATTGTTCCTTGCTAATTGCTATTATTATATCATGGTTTGAAAAATATTCACTGGAATGAACTACTGATTTAGAGCTGCTGTTACTAAAATAGTGAGTAAACTTCTGTTGTCAAAGTAACATGTGGGTCTTGGTGGTCCCCCCCCCCCTCACCCTTTAAATTGAGGAAAAGGGAATTAATTATAATATGAACAAAGAGGATTACACCTTGTGGGAGTTGAGGTGATAAAGGAGTCATATTCTTCCCCTGGACCCACGGATGTAATACATGATCTTGGATGGTAACCAATGCCACCGCATCTAACTCATCCACACTTGAATTCAAGACTTTCTGTAGTTGTTTGATATTTGCATTCATTTGAGAGACAAAGAACATCGAGACTTGATCAGTGCCATCACAAAACACTGTTCTGGTGAGTATATACTCTGCCATTAAGAGCATTGAGGACATCAGTAATTTGTCAATTGGGTTCCGCATGTTGAAATCTGTTATCCTTTTCTGCTTGTTGGCCTTCCTCTGTTGTGAACTTAAGTGGGGATGTGGCAAAAAGATCAAGGAATCTTTGTAGCCTATACCTATGGATGACAGTGGCACTCCCTATTTGTTGCTTCAAAAGCTAGAAGGAGTGAATGGAAGCAGCAGGAGTGTGTACTCTTTATATTAGAAGAAGTAGTGTCTTTTTATATAGAGTGGTAACTCATAGTAGCAGGCTAACTGATTTTAACTATTAACCTAACAGCCTAACACAAGGGAGGAGCATAAATTTTAATGCCGTATTGTTTAGAAGGTTTTGTTTAAGAGATAGTTGTAGATGTAAATAATGAATGTATGTTGCCCATTTTTCAGAAACAAAGTTTAGATATTTGGGAGCCATTATTCAAAATGATGGCGAAATTAGTGGAGATATTTCACATAGAATTCAAGCTGGGTGGTTTAGTTGGAGAAAAGCTAAAGGAGTTATTTGCGACCGTAAGGTGCCTAATAAACTTAAAGGAAAGTTTTATCGCACTGCTATCAGACCGGCAATGTTATATAGTAGTGAATGCTGGGCTCTAACGGGACATCAAGAGCATAAAGTTGGAGTAACAGAGATGAGAATGTTACGATGGATGTGCGGACATACACGTAAAGATAAAATTCGAAATGAGCACGTATGCGAAAAAGTGAGGGTGGCACCTATTGAGAAAAAATGGTAGAAAATCGGTTGAGATGATTTGGGCATGTACAAAGAAGACCAAGGGAGGCACCGGTGAGAAGAGTGGAACATATAACTTTGAGTCCGATTAAGAGAGGTAGAGGAAGGTCTAAGAGAACACTTTTGGAAGTTATTGAACGCGATCTGTTAATTAATAATATTTCTAAAAGCTTGATAAATGATAGAGCATAATGGCGTCTTGCAATCTATGTAGCTGACCCCACCTAGTGGGGTAAAGGCTTGTTGTTGTTGTTGTGTTGTTGTAAAGTTTTATAATGTACATTGCATATTTGGCACATGTAGATACATGACAAACCTTGTATATCATGTGTCACAGGATCAGGATAATGCACTGTCCATATTGTGTTAGTATTAATGCGTCTTTAGTGTAAAATAGTTCATTATTGCCATTGTATCACTACTAGAATTTATGCTATGATGCTCTGTATACAATAATTGCTTCCCATTCTACTGTTATATCCTTAGGAGTGAGAATATTGTACTACGATCTGAATGTGACAAGTCGGCACTTGAAGCAAATTTTGCTAGGGAGAGGCTTGATAGCTTCTTAAAAGAATTTGAACACCAGGTCATCACATATCCCCAATAGTTAATGGTCCTTCTATGATGCTTGGATTGCACTGATTCATGCATTTTTTATTTATTCTTTGATCTGATATGATTGATGGCATGTCAGAAAGCTGAAACCAATGGCATATTAGCAAGAAATGTGGAGTTTTCTCAAATAATTGTAGACTACCAACAGAAATTGCGTGAAAGTTCTGAGTCGCTGAATGCTGCCGAGGAGCACTCTAGAAAGCTGTCTATGGAGGTTAAAAAATTTGAGGAATTAAATGTTTAAAAGTTTTATGAGCACTTTTATTCCAATGAACTGGTTTCTTTTATGATCTCATTGCTTACATTTCTTTTTCAGTTGTCTGTTTTGAAGAATGAAAAGGAAATTATATTAAATGCTGAAAAAAGAGCATCTGATGAGGTTCGCAGTTTATCTGAGAGGGTGCAGTGTCTTCAGGTTAGAAACAAGCTTCTTTATATATTTATATTTATATTATTTTTGTTGTTGTTGTTGTTGTTCTTATTTTTGAGTTTTTTATCTGACTTCTTATAAGTTCTGAAAATTCTTACACTATTTTTTGCAGGCTAGTTTGGGTACCATACAGAGTGCTGAGGAAATCCGAGAGGTTGGATATCATTATCATTTCATGTTGCTTTTATACTAACTATTTGAATAATGTCATTCCTTTTGACAACTTTAGGAGGCAAGAGCTGCAGAGAGGAGAAAACAAGAAGAATATATACAAAAATTGGAGGTACATTTTCATTTTCCTTTTGAGCTCTTCCTGTTGACTGAAGAATCCTAATTTCTTTATTTCTGGATTGTGAAGCATGGATGCAAAGTGCAATATTAGTATGATACGTCACTTATGGTGATGGAACAAATTCTCGAGAATGTGGTTGAGATTTATTTGTAGTTGGGACAAGCCCATAGGAAATCCTACAAGTTACAAGTAGATTATATCATGATGTTTTTCTTTTGGGATTTGGATCACAATACAAAATTAGCTGTTCATTCTTTAGTAAATTCTATATGCATAATTGATGTTTGTGTAACTAGGAAATAATATGGTTCAAACAATTTTTTATGTGAAGCTCTTTTTTGGTTTCTTCCCCTCTTGCTTCACCTGACTTTTTTTCTTCTTTGCACTTTCTTTAACCTTTCTCCTCTTGTTTTCTTATCTCTTATTTGGATCGTCCTTTGCTTTTCCTCATTTCAACCTGAGACTTACATGCAAAGAAAACAGGAGCACGAAAGAGAAAAGCTTTTTAAAAAGTTACCCAACATGTAGCAGTCTAGTCACTTGGTAGATTGAACAGAGACGCCCTTTTGCAAAGACCATGAGCTGAACACTGGAGGGATTCCTAAAATAAAATCTGTCCTATCCCATGACAACCGTGTGATGAGGGAAACAGCTTTGTATGTTTGAAACTTTCTCTTGCCAAAATAACTGCAAAACTGCATTTTGCCTCAAAAAAATTCCTACCCTCTTCTCCCAATCAAAATAGCAGAGGGGTTTACCTTTTGCCCTCAGTACCCTGGAAGAGATAATCCCTGCTGTCGACAGATCCTATTCTTTTTACTCATAAAATAGCAGAGAGCCATGTGTTCATTCAAGTGCAGCTAGCCTTGTTGATCTTGTTGCACAGCAGTGTCTAAGCCAGGGTAAACCATGCCAGTTTTGTTACCAGCAGTGAGTAGTTTATCGTAGCCTTGTTCCAGCCTCATCTGATGCCATTATTTTTTTTTTAAATAACTAGAATAGTGCAGGACAAAGCATGCATGTCTTTGTAGCTGTATCCCAACTGTTGGGCACACATCTTACATTTGCATTGCTGTCATTTTAGCTGTTTGTGTGCTTCCTAGTTCCCTAAACAAGCAAATATTCCTAATCTAAATTGTTATCATGCTTTCATTTCTAGTGATTTATTGGTATATCTATTATTAATGGCTCAAATTTCAGAGGGAATGGGCTGAGGCCAAGAAAGAGTTGCAAGAAGAACGGGAAAGTGCGCGGACACTCACACGAGACCGTGACCAGACATTAAAAAATGCTATGAGACAGGTTGAAGAGATGGGCAAGGAGTTAGCTGGTGCATTGCGTGCCAGTGCATCAGCTGAGTCTAGGGCTGCTGTTGCAGAGGTACATGTTTCAGATTGTTCTCAACCGTGTGCATCCTTTTTATATCCGTTGAATATTGACTTTTGATCCTTATTAACAGGCAAAACTCTCCAGTCTTCAGAGAAAATTGAGTTCCATTGATGACCAGGTTTCTTTTTCCCCTGCCCCCTCTCAGTTAAATTTCTGTTGATATGTTCCTTTCAAAATTTGTTAGACAACGTAAGTTTTTCCTCTAGAGTTATTGAGGAATTACAAATAAAATAACCTGACAAGATGTATGTACAGCCTCTATTTTTAAAGTTTCATGGAAAGAATTCATTTAAAAATACTTGACTTGAGGATGAAATCTTTAGTTTCTTACTTGTTAGGGACCTTAAAATTATTTGCATGTGTGCGTGTGTTTTGGTTATTTACAATAAAGGTTAAGTTAGTTCTGATGATATTTTGGGTATTGTCAAGGATCCCATCAAAAGGCTCCATATTTATGTGCTACAATCCACTTGAATTTTTTTCTTGAAGAATTTCTGAATTCTTAAGCTGCTAATGATTTTCTCATGGTTAATGTCATATTGTTAGTGCAGTGTCTCTTGAATGTCAAATGAAGAGTGAAGTTAAATACTTAAATCTTTAATATTTTGCTTCGAAAAAAAAAATAATAATCTAGCATTCTGAAGCTTTTGGAATTTTTCACTGCTGCTGAAGTGTATATTTTATTTTTGGGATAGAGACATCACTTTCTGCTATGGTTTTACTGTAAGATGCATGGTCATAAAGCATAGTATCACTGCAAGTCAAACCAAAAATGATAATTTGTATAGTTCAAGCTCCCATCCTTTTTTTTCTTTTTTTGGGGGGGGGCGCTTAATGTTTCAGATCTCAGGGTGACGTATGTGTTAATCCCTTGCGTGTTGATTGGCCTGACTTTTGAGTGAAGGTTTCTTGGACGTGTGTGCATTCTTGCATTTCTGCAATTAACTCCTTTGTAATCATTGAATGTAGCATGTCGAAATGGATGGAATGAGTGGGTCTGGCACTATGTCTAATGATGAGGTAAGTTTACATTTTTTTTGTTAATTAAGCTGGCACGAACTGTATAGCTGTGGATGTGCTTTTGCCTTATGACCTTTTAGGTGTTTTATAGCCTGGATGTATGGTAATGAGCATAGCAAGAAACTGGATAACATCCTATTACTCAACATGACTTATCTTATAAAATAAATGAAAGACATGATTAGTATGCTGATGGAACCCAACAAGAGAACTTAAAAATGTTATTATAGCGTGATAACTCAGAGTATATACAATGGAGCAATTCAAATAGCAGCTCTAACAGGACACAATGCTCAATAGCAAAACCCATGGAGTAGCAAACTGGAAGCTGGTAAAATAGGCTCAAGAAGAGATAGTTTTAGGCCTTTGAGGTGCTGGCTGCCTCCCTCAACCTAGTTCACTCTTGAATCCCCTTATTCACCCCATAAACCTCTAACTAAATTCCATTAGTCTCCCATCTATCCTCCAGTATCCCATGCCTAGCTGTCCATGCTAGTCATATGACCATGCCTATAACAATCCAGAATATACTAAACTCCATCATATTTCACATAGCCTGATACATGCTGGTCATAGTTGTAGTGAAGCATCACTTGTGTTCTTTGACATGTGGGAGTGACCTTGCTTTTATATAAATTGCACCAGATTGTTGCTGAATTGCATGCTGCAAAACAGGAGATTGAAAAATGGAAAGAGGAAGCACAGGCTAATAAATCTCACATGCTGCAGGTTATCATTTAGTTTTTATGCATCAATGATATTCAATTTGTTCTTTGAACTAACTGATTGGTTACATTATACATTGCAGTATAAGAGCATTGCTGAGGTAAATGAAGATGCTCTGAAGCAGATTGAAGTTGTGCATGAGAACTTCAAGATTGAGGTATATAAAATAAATGAATCTGAAAAGCCACCTGTTAATCTGTATCTTATTTAATGAAGTGCTTTTTTTCACTCTTTAAATATTATTTAGGCTGACAGTGCAAAAAAAGCCCTAGAGGCTGAACTTGGTTCCCTGAGAGAGAAGGTTTCAGAGCTTGAAAATGAATCTAGCTTGAAATCTGAAGAAGTGGCATCCGCAGCTGCGGGAAAGGAAGAGGCTCTGACATCTGCAATGGCTGAAATCACAAATCTAAAACAAGAAATTTTAGCTAAATCGTGAGTTATATCTTATGACTGTGGTGTGAAATTTACTGTTCTCTGCATGATTCTTACATTGTCTATGCCTGTAGTTCGGAAATTTCAGCAATGGAAATTCAGATCTCTGGCTTAAAAGAAGACTTAGACAAGGAGCATCAAAGATGGCGTGCAGCTCAAACCAATTATGAAAGACAGGTTAATTTCTTTTTTGGATGTTGGTATAGTAAAATTTGTTTGTTGAATTAAATTATTGCTTGAGCCTGTGGATGTCTCTGAATACTGTATCTTCATGAGCATTTAACTAAAGCAGAATAAGAACAAGGTTCAAGGTTTTGTATTATCATTGCATTCAACACTGGACTTGATAGTCCTTTTGGCGTCATTATGTGTTTTTTGTGCTGATGATGTCTCCGAAAGCTTTTCCTGGTTGGCTTCTGATCCTTCAATTTTTTGTAACCCTTTGTCATTACTGTCAAGGAGAATAGATCATCTCTCTCTCTCTCTCTGTTTTTTTTTTTTTTTTGCAATCATCTGCTTTTCAGTAGTATTAAACTTTTGCCGTTAAGAGTGTCAATCATGTAATATGACTGAATTTTTATCTGCAAATTTACATATTATGTTATTTCCAAATATATCTGCTTTTCAGTAGTAGTAAACTTTTGCTGTTAGAGTGTCAATCATGTAATATGACTGAATTTTTATCTGCAAATTTACATATTATGTTATTTCCAAATATCAAGTGAGTCTGCTTAGATCAATTATCTCTACATTTACTTCATCTGGTTTGAAGTTTGTTTGTAACTTATATTATGGAAGCTCTGTTTCAATTGTTTAATTACTTGAAATTTGGACGGTTTTTTTTTTTTTTCAAGTGGTGTGTATGTGTGAGAGTTAGATGAGAACATAAGTTATTATTTATGTGTTTATAATCCTCTTTCTTGTTATTCAGGTTATCCTTCAATCTGAGACAATTCAAGAGTTGACAAAAACTTCACAAGCACTAGCTGCTCTGCAAGAGGAGGCAGCAGAATTACATAAATTGGCCAATGCTATGAAAATTGAAAACGTAAAATTTCCAGCACCTTCCATCTTTAGTTTATGTTTTTTTTTTCCATGCAAGCACTTTCCATGTTGAGTTTGTTTCTTTAGTTTTTAGTTTTTCATCTTCTGTGAAATTTGAGTGTTTGAAGCATGGTTTGGAAGACCAGACCAGGCCGGCCGGTCTGCCGGGTGCCCAGCCCAGTTTACTGCTTCTTTAGATGGGAAGTCAACTTGGGAAGAAACTGGATTGACCTGTTCAACCCCACAGATCAGGCAGGTTGAATTGGTCAATATCCCTTCCTTCCTTGAAGCGCCAAAATGATGCTGCTCTGGTTTTAAAAAATAAAAAAATTGAAAAAATCATAGAAGAATCAGATGAATGCCTAAGCCTAAACTTTGTGTGCCTATCCCCTTGGTCCTTCATCTTCCTCCCCTATTCCTCCTCAAATCTAACATCAACGAGGGCACCAATGACCTAGCAGGAGGAGGCGGGGTAGTGGTGGGGGTAACCATACAGAGAAGGACGGCTAGGCACAGTCAAAGAAGAAATTCTAGGCCTAGTGCTAGTAGTAGAAGATCGAGCCAAAGATTGATTAAGGGAGGATCAAATTAGAGGAGATATTTGGAGTCTGTATGAAGCCATCTTGAGAAGACTTCGGGTCTAGAGAGAGAACTAGTGGTGCCATTTAGATGTGGGAAGCCTTTTGAGTATATTAGGGTTTTGATTGAAAAGCGAAAGTGTGGGACAGGTGAACATCATTGGGAAGCAAGTGGTGTCATTTAAGGATTGGGACTCTAATCTCGGTTTGGGACTCTAATCTCGGTTGTGGTTTTGCAGGATGCTCTCTCAATTAGCCTTCTAAAATGTTGTGGGTTCGAAACATAGTTACCTTCTCTGGCCTCTCATTCATTCCATTTTCATTTGCAAATGATATTTCTTTTTTTCTTTTTCTTTTCCATTTTATGCACAAACTAATAAAGACCACCTGGCTGTTAAGTAGAATGGAAAATATCATTTAAGAGATTGTATTATTAGTATTAAAAGAAAATAAAGCATTATGAAATTATTATGTAGAACTAGAAACCAAATTAAAATTAAAAATGAGGTTAAATATAAAATGATAAAAATATTTCTTGGTTTTATTCTTTTATCAAGTCTAATATTACTCAAATATATAATTATTTTCAATATTGTTGTGTTTTATAATTGTTAGAATTATTGTATGAGATATTAAGACTTGAATATGGATGGATGTATTGAGAATTAATGTATTTTTTAAATTTATTTTATTTTATTTTAAATAGAGGAGATATTTGGAGTCTGTATGAAGCCATCTTGAGAAGACTTCGGGTCTAGAGAGAGAACTAGTGGTGCCATTTAGATGTGGGAAGCCTTTTGAGTATATTAGGGTTTTGATTGAAAAGCGAAAGTGTGGGACAGGTGAACATCATTGGGAAGCAAGTGGTGTCATTTAAGGATTGGGACTCTAATCTCGGTTTGGGACTCTAATCTCGGTTGTGGTTTTGCAGGATGCTCTCTCAATTAGCCTTCTAAAATGTTGTGGGTTCGAAACATAGTTACCTTCTCTGGCCTCTCATTCATTCCATTTTCATTTGCAAATGATATTTCTTTTTTTCTTTTTCTTTTCCATTTTATGCACAAACTAATAAAGACCACCTGGCTGTTAAGTAGAATGGAAAATATCATTTAAGAGATTGTATTATTAGTATTAAAAGAAAATAAAGCATTATGAAATTATTATGTAGAACTAGAAACCAAATTAAAATTAAAAATGAGGTTAAATATAAAATGATAAAAATATTTCTTGGTTTTATTCTTTTATCAAGTCTAATATTACTCAAATATATAATTATTTTCAATATTGTTGTGTTTTATAATTGTTAGAATTATTGTATGAGATATTAAGACTTGAATATGGATGGATGTATTGAGAATTAATGTATTTTTTAAATTTATTTTATTTTATTTTAACCAGTTTGACCCTTGTTTGAATCCTTGACCCTTAATCCCTAATCTCAGCCGATTCAATAACCAGTCTGATTTTCAATACCTTGGTTTTAAGTGAAGCAAGGTGTTTAGAAAGCACATGCTAAGTGAGGCAAAATATGTTATATAAATAAAAATGAATAAATGGAAGTTTCTACCATCATTTGACCAATAAATTGACTATTCAATCATAATGATCATGATTTCAAGTCATAATTGATAATAATGTTAAGTTCACCTATAAAATCATTGAGCCATGTGTCCAAGTATAAAGTTAATTAGTGAACTTTACAATCCTAAAGATGTAGTAACCATGGCTGCCAAGCAATTAACAAAATAACAGTAAGTTGTACTTGTGTCCAAAAAATTCAATGACAAAATAAACTAATGGCCATTTGTCTTTCTTTTTCAATATTTATTTACTGAACCTAAAAAATTAACAGCCTAAACAATATTTTTAAGTGAGAATGACTGTTTTGCCCAAGTCATTTTTAGTTATTGGCTGGGTTTATAGTTTTCCTGTCTTGTAAGAATTCATACTGCGCTAGGATTCTGGGGCTCGGCTTCAAAGGCTGCCCCTTTCCTTTGCACCTTACTTTGCTCTCTGGTGGGTAGGTTAAGGCACACTGCTTGAGTGAAGCATAAAAGTGCTGAAGGCACTGCCAGGTGAGTGCCTGGCTGAAGTCAGTTCCTGTCATAAAGCAAGAGGTGCTGAACCTCTTGAGAGCCAAGGCAAGGGTCTTTAACATGATTATTTTTTATCCCTTTTTAAGGACCAATTGAACTCAAAAACTCAAGATATGAGATAAATGCCCACGAATGATTTAACTGAATGCTACGGCAGCTTTGGTTTTCAAAATTCCTTGGTAAATCTGGCTAGAGGGGAATGCTCACATCTAAACCCATTTCACATTTTATGCAATATTTTTGTGTTTGTTGATTTACTTTTGTTTTGATGGAGTTTTTTTGTTTTGGGGGACTGTGTCCTAATCCTACAGTTGTAATTCTTTAATGTAATTTCTACTTTTTTTCCTTTTTCCTTTTTGTTGGATTCAAGCAATTAAAACCAAATATAGAATACGTAATAATGTGCATGTGCACATTTGTCACTGGTTGCTGATTTTGTAATAACGAAGTATTAAAATGTATGAAATTTAAGAATTGCAATACATGTCATTCTTTTGCATTTGACAGAATGAACTAAAGGTCAAGTGGGAAGAGGAGAAGGCAGTGCTAGAGAAGGCTAAGAATGACTCGGAGAAGAAGTACAATGAAATCAATGAACAGGTTATTGTATTTTCAGTGATATGCTTTATAATCAACAGTGTTTTGATTTTTTTCCCCCTTGTTTAGCTTAATGATTATGAGATGAAGTGTGCATGTTGGAAGGGCTGGTTTGGAGGAACAAATACTTGCTATATGGTTGTTGTTTTATTTGAACTGAATTGTTCCTGACAAGCACAGAAGAGAACAATTTATGCATAAAACTATATGTTAACTTTATCAAAAGATATAGTACATTTAAAATGATATTTTTATTGTTTATGTCATAATCTGCGTTTGTAATTCAAGTAGCTTTTCGGGGTTTATAGACTAACATTGTAGTTGCTGCATTATTGTTTGAATTCCCCCTTTGATGTATTCGTTCAATGTATATTGTTTGGCACGCTAGTTCATTTGAACATGATAATATTCTTTATGCCGCTGGACTAGTTTTGAAATATCAGGGTTTGCTGCTACTTTAGGAAATCTTATTCTACTCAAGTTTGTAATTTTCTGTTAGATACTTGGGCATTATCCTTGAAGCATCATGCGAGGCTTTATGTTGATGCATTGAGGCAGACATATAGAACCCCTCATGATCCCCTTGATGGCAGTTCCATTTACACATTCCCCTTTATTGTTATTTGATATTTAATTATTTAGCCGAGTAATGTTGTGAAATCTCCGCAGAATAAAATACTGCATAGCCGACTGGAAGCTTTGCATATCCAATGGGCTGAGAAAGAACGTAATATTGCTGGTATTTCCTCAAGTACTAGTGCAGATACAATATGTGATGCTGGTCTACAAAATGTGATTAGCTATCTTCGACGCTCAAAAGAAATTGTGAGTATTTTTTCACGATGCTTATGTTTTTCTTTCTTGTATTTACCTGTTAGTTGCCTGGTTATATAACATTATTTTACACTGTAACAGGCAGAAACAGAAATTTCCTTATTAAAACAGGAAAAACTGCGATTACACTCCCAGGTAAATTGACTTGAGTGATTATTTATTTATTTTTCAAATCTTCATGTTACTAACGGTATTGACAGTACTATCTGTGTCTCACGTCTCAATTATTGAGTTCTTTGGAAGTTGTTTCTTTCACTCTCGTTGCTGGTTGGTTAATAACATTCTGATCTGAACCTCATATGAGGGAACAATCCAATGACCATATGTCTTAGTGATTGAGTCCACCTATAAGAAGTAAATGGTAGAACTGCAGAATTCATAGGATTGATTGGACCTTCAATGATTCAATCCATTAAGATCCTACTGATCCTGCCATATTGATATTGTTCTTAAATTTTTATGAATAGTTTGAGCACTTCTTCTCAAATTAGTACTTGTGTATCATTCTTTGATATCATTTTTGCATAAACTGGGTGTTGATTGTGTTTGGTTGTGAAATTGAGGCCCGGGGGAAATTCTCTAGTCTTTTTTACCCCCATTTTGGCTTTAATTGCTTCCTTCATTAGTGTGTCTTAACTCTGGATTTGGAGAAATTACAGTGCTTTTCCTTTGCAAGCTTCCCAAGGGCATGTAGCCTGTTTCGTGAGTTTGATTATGACTTATTCTCATGAGCCAGTGATTTCTGTATTTAATTGTTTATTGTTTCTGTGTCTTTTGTTTCAATTGGCTGTGTAGCTTGACAGTGCTCTGAAGGCAGCAGACTCTGCACATGCATCACTAGAAGCTGAACGTGCTAAATCAAAATCATTGTTGTTCAGTGAAGAAGAGTTCAAATCATTGCAGCTTCAGGTTAAGAATTTTTCTTTTTGGTTGCATTTTTCCTAGTTTACTGTGGTTTAACAACGACCTTTATATTTAGCATTTCACATGCTTCATGAGGACATTATCCACTATATTGTTTCAGCTAAAAGTATTGCATGATAAATTTATATATGGTTGAAATCGTGAGCTATTTGTCAAAAATGGTTCTCAGGTTAGAGAACTTAACTTACTTCGCGAGAGCAACATGCAGCTTAGGGAAGAAAATAAGCACAATTTTGAGGACTGCCAGGTAATGCAATAATTTGTAATGATGTATTTTTATTCCCCCCCCCTTTATGCATTTGCCAATTATCTGTTGTGTTTTTGTGCAAACGTAATTTGTATTGCCCTAAAATGGTGTTACTAATAGATGATGTTAAAATTATACTAGAAATTGCGTGAAATAGCACAAAAGGCAAGAGCTGAGACACAGAATGTAGAGACTCTACTGAAGGAGAAAGAGACTGAGTTAGAAGGATGTAAGCATGCAATTGAAACAATTAAGATGGAAAAGAACAATCTAGATTACAAGGTTTCTGAGGTATTGCATTTTGGAGATGATAATGAAGTTCAATACCATGTCTTAATTTTTCTCATTATTTATTTATTTGTTTTTAATGTTCAGCTGCTTGAAAGGTGTAAAAATATTGATGTGGAAGAGTATGATCGAATGAAGAATCTTGTGAGGGATATGCAGGTTGGTTGAAGATGATATCATTTGTTGGTGATTAGCCTGTTGACTTATTGTCTGCATTTCATTTGTAACATGTTCATCACTAGTTACTATCAAGTTATAATTAGATTTAGTATTTCACGCAAAAAAAAAAAACGATCTAGTATTCTCTTAGCCTTCTGTCTCTTGATATTTAGTGTGTCAATTGTTATTCCTCTTTCTCTTAAGCCTGGATGTGTCTTACTCTCTTGAAAATGATTCTGCCATAACAATATTTGGATGTTAATCAAGTTGCTGGTAGCACGTGGTTACTGCCTGAATTTCTTTGAAATTAATGTGAATATCAGCATAGGAGGGGAGCAATAATAGTTTCATTGATTTTGGCAAAGCTTACTTGTTATCGTATTTTTTCTTTGTAAGCTTGCATTTAGAAGTTTGAAGTGAGCATCCCTTTTTGCAAAGCACAGGTAAGTTTTAATTGATACTTTCATGGCCTTCTTCAGAAAGCTGATGGTGGCGTAACTTTTAGAAGGCCATTCTTCATCACATAAACTCAGATTTTGCAAGTTTTAACATGTTTGATTCGTCTAGTGAGCAGTTATGTGTCTAATCGCTAGTTTTAATATATATTGCTTCCTAATTGCAATAAACTTAAATAATATTTTTGGAATTAGAAAAGAAAGAGAGTAGTAGAGAAAATCTAGAGCAAGTGTCTTGTTAAGGCTGTTTTAGTCATTTATGATCTAAATGTCATACCTGGCCGTTAGTTGTCTTTCTAATGTTATTTGTATCTCTGTTAATATGTTTTCTTTCTTTCTTTCATTTTATCAGGATAAACTAAGAGAGAAGGATGCACAGGCAGAGGAAATGGGGAAAATTCTTGTGGAAAAACATGATTTAATTTCACACCTGGAGCAGGATCTTTCTAAGTGCAGGTTGGAGCTGGAAGAGAGAGAAAAGAGGATAAATGATGTTTTGCAAGTTGAGGTGTGCCATAATCTCTTGACTAAAATCTAGGAAATTTAATTTCTTCCCTTCAAATATATTTAATCTGATATGGTTTGTATAACAGGCTTCCCTAAAGCTGGATTTGGAAAGACACAAGAAAATGCTGGCTCAATTCAAGGTTTTTGTGCATTCTCATTTGGAAATTTAGTAGTGCTTGTGATCAACTTTGTATATTCCTTTTTCATAATAGTATACTTCTATGTCCTGTAATTAGGGCGTCCTCAGTAATCTATAGATTGTTTGGCATTGCTGTTTATTCGACTGTCTCACTTAGCTTATCTGTTCATCCTTTCAGAAGAGGAACGATAGTTTGTCTAGGGAAAAGGAGGATCTAGGGAAAGAAAATCAACAACTTTCTAAGCAGCTAGAAGAAATCAAGCAAGGTAGTCTGCTTTGCCCCAGTCCCCTACAGGGGCCGCTCTAGACTTACCCTCCTCTTTTTTGCCAGATGTATACATGTTGCTTTGTTTGTTGCTGAAATGTCATTCAAAAGTCAAAACTTGATGTTGCTTATCAGGGAAGAGGTCAATCAGTGATGTAACTGGTGAGCAGGCCATGAAAGAGGAAAAGGACACCAGAATACAGGTTTGTTTAAACTTAAACTATGATTGAGAATTATTTTTCCCCTTATTTTTATTTTCAGAAAGGAGAGTGTGCCCTATCTTGACTTTCTTATTTCCTATTTTGACTAGATTTTGGAGAAACATCTGGAGAGACTGAGAGATGAATTGAAAAAGGAAAAGGAAGAGAATCGATTGGAGAAAGGAAAACGACTGAAGACTGAAAAAGCCATAAAAGACTCCTACAGCAATGTTGAACAGGTACTCCCCCCCACGCCCCTCCCGAAAGAAACTCCATTTTCTTTTTGCCATTTGATTTTTTTCCATATAATTCCATGTTTTTAGATACTAATACTTTATCACTATTACCTTTGAAGCATTGAATATTCACCCTCTTGCGTAGTTGATTAGACTTGTGGAAGAATGCTGAATTAATATGGGCATAATTGAGAAATGTGGACGAGCTAATAAGAAATGTGACTGAATAGATTGGAGCGACCTTCTGACTCTAATAATCTATTTCTGTTAGACAGCCCCCCCACCCTAGACAACCGAAGGGGAAAAAAGAAACCCTCTCTCAGATAGTACCAATGTCTTTAAATTTTGTTCATGCATACCTGGCTGTTCTGCGGCTGGAAGGAACAATCATGTTTACAATTTGTTAGTAGGACTGCTCGTGATTATGAAATTATTTACCATGTGTTTCTTTCACTTGCCTTTTAAGATTCAGTTTAGTGTCCATGTGCATGTGTGTTCTCTTTTGTCTGAGAGACATGAACCTATGTCTAAAACTCTTATAATTTATGGACACTGCTATTCCGGTTTTGGTTACTTCAATGGCACTTCTTCAGTACTCAATATTGGGACATTGTGGGACTTGTTAAATGCTTTATTGTGGATTCCCCTCTAGTAGTTTGACTTCTTACCTGTGTCAGTGCCATAATGATACGTTTGTTTTCTTTTATTCCTCAATATTCCTTTCAGGAGAAAACGAAGTTTATAAATGAAATTGAGAGGCATAAGGAGGCAGTGAAACGGTTATCAGATGAAATTGAGAAGCTTAGGGTTATAACAGGGAACCTTCCCGAGGTAAGGACATAAGCTATTATTCTTTTCATTGTGAAAACTGCTAAAGTTATTTGACGTACAAGGATTATTATGTGTGATGTGTGTGCCCTTGACTCTAGTTTTCTACTTTATTTTTTGTTTCACAACAAATATTTTTATTAGTCTGTTCTTGAGATTAAACGTTTTACACACTTTTCGTAGGGAACCAATGTGGCTCAACTTCTTTCTGGGTCCAACACAGACGAGCTTGCTTCTCCTTATATATCAGCTGTTGAAAACTTTGAAAAAGAAGCTCAGTCTGTGTTTTCAGAGCTTGGAGGTCGTGTTAATCAAGGTGATGCAACTTTAATTGCTGATACTTCGGGCAGTGCTGCAGGTAATTTTGTCTTGTTGCTATAAATCATTATCATTTCGCTATGATATTGTAATTTTTATCCAACTTCATGCAGGTCCTCTGGTCCCCATCCAATCCCCTGGCATTATCTCAAACGCCCCTGGAGCAAGCAGTTTACCACCTAAAGCGACTGAAGAAAGTAAGAAAAAACCTGTTTTACCTAAAGCTAATGTTGAACCCCGTAAAACAGGAAGAAGGTTGGTCAGGCCTCGTCTGGGAAAACCTGAGGAGCCACAAGGTGACCGAGAAATGTCAGAGGCTGAAGGATCTCAAATTGCAAGCAAGCCTGGGTCTTCAGTTGACACAGACACTCAAAGCAGTCTTTCTCAATTACCTCAATCAATGGCTCGTAAACGTGTTGCTCCTACCTCCACCTCCGAGTTACATGATGAATCAGTTGCACCTGGCGAGACTAGCTCAGATGCCGGTGCACTCTCTGTGAAGAAATCAAAGGGTTCAGATTCCCCACAGGAAAGTGCTGAAGGACAACCTGCTGCAACTCCAGAACATCCTGGCGGTCAACCACTCGCTGTAGAGTCATTTGAGGGTGGTGAGTTACTTCAAGGTCAAAATGAAGAAGCCGTTGAAGCTCAGAATGAAGAAGGCGAGGTTATTGTTGAGAAAGTTGAGTCCAAAGATCCGCAGAATGTAGATAGTGCGATTCAGGAAGAATCACAAGGGGACAAAAACAGCATTTTAGAGGAGAATTTGGATCAAACGGTTGAGTCAAAAGTGACTTCTGATGATATGCAGAGAGATCAGGGGGAGCCAGACAACCAGCAATCAGCAATGGAAATTGAGAGTGAGAAAGAAGAGGGAGAATTGTTACCAGAGGGTGCAGATGTTGAGGGTGGTAATGATGTATCTAACCTTGTGGAAAACCAAGAAATTCGGGAAGGTCACTCCGAGCCAGCTGCAACTCCTGAACCTTCGCAGACCGTGGTTGATGATGAAGCGCTCGAAGTAGGTGAGATCAATTCTCCCGAGCTTTCGACTGATGATAAGAACGAGGAAGGCGAGGTGGCTGAGGAGGCTGCCGATGGTTCTGATAAGTCCAATGATGCTAATGACCCAGTTGAGACTGATCAGGTGGCCGAGCCGGCACCCGCACCTAGCACAGCTGAGGGCACTTCAGCTACCCCTGCTGCAGAAACTGGCTCCTCCAGAGTTATACCTGCTCCCAAACAAAGCACTGCTGGCGTTGCTCAGAAACTGAAGAGATAAAGCAGGCTTCGCCAGTGAGTAGTACTTCAACGACCATAAATTATCAGAGCGAGCAGGGAAAGGGCTCAAATGAGACAAGCTGGGGTGGTTTCTTCAATAGGAAGAGGCCGGGGAAGAGGAGCTCCCCGAGGTCGAGCCGCCAGAGGTGGTCGCATTGGCGGGCGTAGACAACCACCTAGTGATGCTTAACTAGTTTAGCCAAGTCTGGAATTAGACGGCCAAATATTGTGTAACTTCACGTTTTGTCTGTCAAACTAATTTACAGTGACATTTTATTATTTCTCATGTAAATACATTTTCTTGCCAATTCTGCGTGTATTAGCGTGAGCTGATTTATAGCTACAAAATTTACTGTTCCTTAGTGCAAGCCTCATTGGCTGAAGGAAATTTTGATGTACTTCTGCATATCACAGAAAGTCGTTGAGAAAATTTAGCCAGTGATATAACATGAGAATAACTTTTTGTTTGTTCTTGTTCTTTGTGTAACTATGGCGGTGATTGCCTCCTATCTTCATTATATATTTATATGATGGTTACCTGCGTGTTGAAGTTGTTTCCAAATTTTATCAACTTTTCACTGTTTTTCGTTGAAGGTCATGACTTGTGTCTGATCATCGAGGACTTAAAACTAATCATTCATTATATTGAACTAAATTCCCAAACTGAAGGGAAATTGTAAAACATTAAAAACAATTTGAAAGCAAGTAAATGACAATTGATCATCTTGGTACCCTCTGAACTGCAATCAGAATGTCTCCCATCCCTTCCTCTGTTCGTAGAGGAATTTGGCCACCACTTCCCCAGGTGAATTATTCCCCTCCGTTCCAAACCAACAGCACTTCGCTGAAATCAAAATCCTTGAGCTCTTTTCTTCCATGTGGCAGTGTCGGCTACTGCAGCAATCATTGCCAGCGGCGGTGCCCGATGCTTTCCAGGAAAAGAATCAGGCTAACATTCTCTTCAGTCCTTCACTTGCTCAACCACCTTGGGATCCTCGGCGCTCTTCACACCGGATATGTCTACTGACCCAAAAGCAGTTGATAATTGATCTATCTGCTGCCAACAAAAGTATATAAAAAACAGTAAGAGACCAAAGCATCTCTCAACTTACAATAAACTGTGATGAGATAGGATGTGCTAAGTCAAGAATAAAGAATCACAACAAAACACATGCTCTGAAGTCCGAAGGGTTATTTGATTATCGATTTCTTCATTCCAAATCAATTCTTTAAGCAGCATCTCTATCAACTAGCAATACAACAGATATTGCAAAAGAATAGATCCTTCAATTGCAATTATGCCAGTGTGGTCCCATTGTCACATGCACATGCACTCAAAGATGCCGACATCAACATGGTAATATGGGAATCATTGCGTTGTATAATTGCTAATAGCCTTAGAATAAAATAGAAGCGGACGAAACAAACCTGTTCATTGGAAATAGGCATATGCTGTCTTACTTTCTTCTCTTGCATGACCTTCTGACGGCTTTCATAAAATTCAAAGTCATCCAATATGGAAGTCCTAGCCACGAAGTTCTTAAATATGCTAAGCATTTCAATACCTTGGGGATAATACACCTGAATAAATGCAAGATAACAATAAACGAAGGGAAGAAAGCAAAGAATGCGTATAACAAAGAAACTTTTCCCTGAACAATATGTGATCCCCATAGCAGTGACAGACCTCTTGCGTGTCTCTGCTATTTGTCACGGGCTTGTTGTCATTATTCTCGAGTATTATATGTCGTAGCTGAGGATTTGGGACATCCTTTATAATATGCCATTTTAGGGGAAAAATCCACTCCATTTATCCTGTTGCCAGAAATCCATATTTTTGTTGAAATCAACTCGTCCAATCATCTCAGCTACTCCACAAAACTGACCACTGGCATTGACCTGAAGTCAAAATAGATATCAGCAAAAAACTAGAACTTAAAATTATTAACCTCAAAAAGTTATAGAACATAGAGGAGTACTGTCTTGAGTGTTTTTGGAGGAAACAGGATGAGCTCCAAATCATACCGAAAAGTAAAGGAACACTGGGCACTTGCTTCCTTTCTCTGCCAACGGCTTTTGTGCTTCCTGGTATGCGGCATCTAAACCTCTTATTCCCGTTAGGAGTACTAGCCCACACATTGTATTTAATGCTCTTATGAATATCGTCTTCACTGTATGATTTGATGACAAAGAAAAAATGCATGATCATACTTAGTTGGGAAATCAGGAAGGTTATATTGATCCATCCTGACCAAAGAGTTTTTCTGGCCATTTCCACTCCCATCTGTGGCCAGGGTTCCAGCAGGAATACCTCCAGACATTAATGTACCTTTGGCATTAACTGTTCTAGGACCATAATTCTGCTCATCAATTGAACCACTGACCTTGCTTCTCCATTTATACTTTTCTGTGCCAACCCAACCCTTGGTGTTCGATTTCACATTAAGCAAGTTGTTGAATAGAGTAGTCCACTCTTTCCTTGATTGTATGTCGGAAACTTGGTAATAGGCAAGCAGCCCTTTGCAATTACATCTGAATGAAGGATTGCACCACCAACCGGTGCCTGAAAACATCACAAAATCATCAGAATAGTCTTGAGTAGATACTAAACACAAGGCAGAAGGTTACTAACCCAGAAAAGAAAAAGAACAGAAAAGAAAGAAATGAACCTTGTTTAATGGTTTTATCTGGTTACGCTTAGCAAGACCAGAAGAGACATCTTTTAATGGTGCAGAACTCTTTACTTCCAATGGGTGGCTCAAGCTAGAATGAGACACGGGCTTTGATGCAAGACTGCCAGAATGACTTTGGGAGGATAAATTAGGTTTCCCAATTGGTTTTCCAGCCAATTCGCTATAAGCATTTGCGTGCAATCCATCTTGTGTAGTTGGATATGAATCAAATGAGTAGGGCACTGGCACAAGATCCCCATATGACAGAGGAGCTGAATAATACCCAGGTGAAGCAATGGTTGTTCAAAGATGGAGCCATGAGGATACATATGACCAACATACTGCTGATCTGCACCAATTGTACTCACAGGAAAGTACGACGAGTAGCCAGTCTGATATCCTGGCATGAGATACACATAAGATCCATTATCTGCTTGCATGACCTAAATATAAAGCAACAAAAAGGTAAATTCGTTATAGAAACACTACTTGCAAGTGATTTATTTTTCAAATGTATGCACATGAATTTGAACTTCATTTCAGAAAAATGACTCACAAATACAAAATACCCCTCTTCAGTGTTTACTTCTTTTTTTTTTTTAAATACAATTACCGATTATTCATGGCCGAACTGGGTAGGATCACATTGACAGCAAAGCTCTCCCAATGAATATTTTAACACAATTACATACTTGGGACTCAAATTCAAAACCACTAGTTAAGCTAGTACAACCCCTTAGCAGTTGAGCCACGAGCTCGTTGGTACTCTTTAGTGTTCACTTCAAAATGATCTAATATAGTGCAAATGCTGATAAATAAGCATAATCATTGTCCAAAGTTTTATTCTATCTTGAATATCCATAACAAACAACTTAAATTTGCCCGATGACCTAATTGGACTAGAGATAGAAATGGCCAACCACAGAGAGAAAAGAGAGTCAACCGTCCTTGAATCAGCTCAAAAGACTCACAGGATATTGGAGTTCCCCTGCATCAGCACCTACATAGTACCCTTGATTGTCTATATCTCCATAGGAACCGCCATAAACCTGTGATTGTTCTAACGTAAGGTGTGAAAATACAAAAATATACAATTAATAAAAGAAGAGAGGAGAATTAGCACGGCATCTTCAATCAGTAGCAACAAACCTGGATAGTAGTATCCATAAAAGCCACTGGCAGGGTATTGAACACCTTGATCTGTAACCAAGTGCTCCTGATCCACGTCTCCTTTAACGCTACTGGGGCCTCCCCCACAGATGATATACATGAAGTTGCATCAGATGGGGAATTTGCACGCTTGGATGGAACCTGAAAATACATATCCAAAATTCCAGATAAGCATGTCAATCGATCTACAATGACAAGAATAAGAACGTCATGATTATGATTATCGTGATTAATATGAAAAAA